TGTTAACTCAACAAAATATTTAGCACAGCTCACTGACATTTTAAAAGGCATAAAATGCAGTTTGTGATTCTTGGTGATATCAATATGAATTGGGCTGATAAAACTTCCAAAGGCCTGAAAGCAATGTCTATAAACTTAGGGCTTCAACAGTTAATTAAAGTACCAACAAGATTTGGCAAGACATGCAATTCCATTTTGGATCTTATTTTCACAAATCAATCCTCTATTTATGGCATATCTGGAGTTATAAATACTTCAATCTCGGATCATTCACTTATTTATGTCATTAGAAAAAACCTCAAGAAACCTACAGGTCATGTGCATAATTTCATTAAAAGGATTCCAAAATCAAAGTTACCCATGTTTCATGCTGAGATTGAGAATTACTGGAATGAGGGTATTTCTCTGTCAAATCCAAATCACATTTTGTCAAATTTTTATGATAAGTTGGAGACAATACAGGGAAATATATTTCAACTTGTAAAGTTCCAGTCCGGAAAAATAAAATTCCACGGTTGAATGCCTCTATAATACATCTCCTAAAGTTGAAAGCTTCTTCAATGAAAACTTATAGAATATCAAAAACTTCTGAAAATCTGTCTCGTTTAAACAGTTACCGAAATAAATGTGTTGCTGAATTACGCAAAGCCAAACAACAATATTTTAAAAATCWAATTATTTCAGCCAGTAAGAATCCAAAAGTATTATGTGAAACAATTAAGTCAGTGACAGGTGAAAGTAACAATAAAACATTTAATAACAATTCACAAATCTCAGTAAATGGACATCTTGTTTCTGATCATGAAAAAATTGCTAACTTATTTAATGAATATTTTATTTCTTCAGTAAKGACATCATTACCGGGACAAGCTAATAGTTTAAAGTTATTTAAATATCCTGACAATTCAAAGCAATTTTCATTTTCTGAAATTTCACAGAGTGATGTTTTAAATACACTCCAATCTCTAAATGGCTCACATGCATTTGACAAATATAAGATAAATATGGATTTCTTGAAAATGCATGCCAACACTTTTTTACCATTGTTTCATCATTTGCTTAATTTATGTATTGTGCAGTCTATTTTCCCTGATGCCTGGAAGTTAGCTCAGGTTACTCCCATTTTTAAATCTGGTGATCCAACAGAAGTTTCAAACTATCGGCCAATTTCTGTTCTTCCTATTTTTCTAAGTTACTTGAAAAATTATTTAATCAACTACTTCAGCATCTAGAAGCTAACAACATGCTAAACAATAGCCAACATGGTTTCCGCATGTCAAGGTCAACCATGTCTGCATTAATTTTATTCACTGAACAAACACGTGCTGCTTTGAACAAAGGTCAAGTAACTGGTGCTGTAAATATTGATTTTCGTAAAGCGTTTGACACAGTTGATCATTATACTCTCTTACAAAAGTTGATTTCTTTTCAACTTTCATCGTCTGCAATACAAATGTTTTCCTCTTATTTGACTGATAGGTGTCAGGTTGTGAAACATGGAAGCTCTGTGTCCGGGTCTCTGCCCTGTTCCGTGGGAGTTCCGCAGGGTAGCATACTGGGCTCATTGCTTTTCCTATCATACATAAATCACCTTCCAAAAATATTGAAGTATTCAAATATTTTAATGTATGTGTAGAGG